AATAAAGTTGGGGTAACGCGAGAAAATGTGAGAATCACGATTAAGATAGTTTGAGCGTGTGCGTAAGAGAGACTTTGAGGCCCCAGTGAGAGGGTAGAAACATTAGAATTAAGAACGCAAATGAAAAAAGGAGAGGGGTAGACCTAAGAAACATGGAATGAAACAATAAAAAATGACTTAAAATATTTAAATTTGAATGAGGATATGTGTTTTGATCGAGCACGATGGCGACATGCGATTCATATAGCCGACCCCACTTAGTGGAATTTTGACGGCTTGTTGTTGTTGTTGTAGTAGTAGAGGACTCTCAGCTGCCATTTCAGTATTTATGAATTTGTGATCCTTGAATAGGTAACTGGAGCCAAATTGTGGAGACAGGTTGGAGAATAATTTCATCCACCAAAGTAAGGCCCGTTAGGCATCTGAATTAATTTTTAATTGCTTCTGTACTTGCTTTCTTTATTGTTGTTGTTGTTATTATTGTTTCTACTACCATTGCTAGTTGGACATCCTGTTGGATTGTCTTTGATTTTACATGTGAGAATTTTGATATTCATAGTTATCATATTTAAAAGATGCTTTATTTTGTCTTTGGATTTGGTTTACATGACTTCGTTAAAGGCGCTTGTTATGTGTATTTCCTTCTCGTAATTCCCATAGCTCGTATAGGCACACTCATACGACGCTTTCAACGAAACTGATATGATCTGGATTAAGCTTCTAAGTGTGATTCAAATTGTTTTCTGCTTTTTTTCTTTTTGGTTGCAGACCTTGTACTACAGTTTCTTGCACGTTCCGCATTTTCTATGAGAAGGTGATAATTTTAGTCAAACTACTTTTACTAGTATCCTTTATCCCTTCACAATTGTGAAAGAAGCAAACCAAAGCAATTGCGTTAATTCGACATCATTAATAATTAAGCGATACATTTTTCTTACATTTATAACCATTTTTTTCTTTATGATTTAGTCTCTTCTGGAATATGAAAGCATAAGATACGAATTGGTGAGCTTCGACTTCCCATACCAACAGCCCCTGAAGCTTCTGGTGTTGATGCTGAGGTGAGTTTGGTTATAATACAGTATTTCACTTATCTCACTAACTTATTTAGTGGAAACTTTGTATATGGTGATCTAATAACGTTAGGACCATTTATAACCTATGACACAAAGCCAAGGATCATCTTCAAAACTATGTAAGGTAGGGAGGAGAATGGGATAGTAAATTTTTCATTTCAGTCTCGAGTGTCTAACTTATTATGTGTAGGATTTTGAGCTGTAATGTTGCAGCTCTGAAGCTGGGCTAGAACTTCCCGTGTACATAATTATGTTATACATATTGTATGACATAATTTGGAGATATTTTAAGCACAGACTGTCATCTGGCTTATCTTTTTAATACCTGCAACATCTTCTTGATGGGAACTGATCTGACAATGTATGTGACACTGCTCAAGTGTATAGAAAGAACGACCACCTCTGATAATAGTAATAACGGAGTAACTGTTTCGTTGAATAAAGTTCGCACTACAATTATACTTCTTATAAGAAATCTTTAGAAATAATAAAGTAAGCTACAGAAACAAATCTTAAGAGATGGTAAAGTTGTTTTAATAATTCACACCTTCATCACATATCTATCACAACACGGTTTGTGTGAGAGTTTTTGTTTCTTTTGCCAGTAGTTGTTTTGCATCTATTATATTTTTGTGTTTGTGACTGCTAGTTTGGGACTGGATTTATATGTCAGCCTAAAGATCATAGCAGAACATAAAATTTGAATATATGAGTTTACACAGGGAAGTGGTTATCAGGGTTCAGGTTCATGAAAGGCTAAACGAGATGCTGCTGCTCGAGCTCAACGTGTTTCTGGTAGTGAGTTAGGTGAACCTATTATAAAGGTCTGTCAGAGTCGATAGTTCAAGATCCTTTTCCTATTTTTACTTCTGTTCACATTTTTCTGGTCACACTACTTTGTTGAACTTAAATTTATAGGACAAGAATGTGAGCAATATGACCAAACGTGAGAAGATTATAAAAAGCATCGGTATACCGCTTGAATTTCAGAACATTTTACGTAAATGATCTTCAGATCAACCTCTTTCAAACTGTCAATAGGTTTGTGTCACTTGATTCATCATAGTGGCTTATCTTTATCTAATATTGTGTGTCGGCTCTCTCAAACAGAAACGACCAAATGAAACAGAGCATTCAATTTAAGTTGCCAAAAGTGGTACACCTAGCGAAGAAATTGTTCTCGGAGTAGGAATCCAAAAGGTGGACTCCATTAGAGGGGAGACACTTGGATCCCTTACGGAGTAAGAAGACGGTGAAAGCCACATTACCGGGAATTGATTTCCTCTTCATCGTCGCTATTTGAAGAAAATTAAAGGTAATTTTCGAAATTTTCTACAAATCAAAATTTGTACTTTTACGTGGTTTAAAAAGATGCCGATCGTAAAATCGCTATGTGAATCGAGGGGTTTAATATTTATTGGATACTACAGGACCATGTTATTGTTGAGGCTACTCGAGCGAGGCCCAACCCGTGGCCTACTCGGCAAGTATCCCGGGCCATGAAGGCCCGAGTGTGAAGGACGAGCCAGGTCAAGGCCCGGTCAACAGAATCGAGACCAGACAGAATCTGCGACCGTCAGTCGACGGTCCCCGAGAAAGGGGCGGTCAAAGGGTGAAAGTCAACTATGGGGAGGACACGATCAGGCTGCGGATGCAGAGCGGTTGGGGGTACGTTGACTTGTTGCGGGAGATTACGAGACGGTTTGGAGTGGGCCCGGGAGTCGAGTTTCATCTCAAGTGTTTGGATGACGATGCTGAGTGGGTCCTGCTGACGTGTGATGATGATTTGGCCGAGTGTGTGGACCTGTGCCGCTCCTCTGGGGCCCACATGATCCGTCTCGTGCTAGTTCGGAGGTAGGTTTCGCGCTTTTTTTTTTTCTTTTTTTTTTTGTTTGTAGACTTCGTAGTGGTGTGGCTCGACGAATTTGTGGGCCCCGAGAGGAAGGGTTTGTGTTATGGAGTTTGTGTGCTCGTCGTGGTTCGTGTTTTTAATGCCCTTAACAATCTTTCGTTGTTGCGACTGAGGAATAACGAATGCTCGACTTTTCTTGAGAAGTTGGATTGGACGTGCAATCGCGAAGCCAAGGAAGAATGAGGGAGGTATTGTAGGTTGAACTGTTGGCAATTTGTGTTTTGTTTAGAAATATGGTGATTCTTTGTTTTTTTTCCCTCTCTTTTACCCGTTACAAGTTGTGATTTGAACTGTAGACTCTTAAAACTGTATATTTACGGAGCAGAGACGAGGAATTAGTAGTTTTTCTGCATAATAAATATGCAGTATGATTCAGTCTTAATCTCTGTTGATATTTATATCAAAACCTTGTGTCAAAGCAAATTGCTGAAGTGTACAATTGAGTGTTGGGAATATATTGGGTATATTGTTGTTGTACAATTGAGTGTTGGTAGGATTAAAATGGAGTTATAGTCATTGTAAATGCGTTTACATTAGGGCTGCTCATTCGGCTGAAGTCGAACCAATATGACTGAATTTTTTGGTTAACCCAAAACTCAGTTTATCGATTATAAGAATCGAAAACCAAATCAAAATTCATGGTTCGGTTAGGTTTTTAACCTAAAATCCTGCGGTCGGTTCGGTTATTGGTTAGTCGCAATAAATAAATAATCTTAACCGAACCAAAAATTTGATTTTTATCAGTAAATTCTTTAATTCTACTCTAAGGAAAATCTAGAACCCAAACCATGAGTTGGGCTATGTCAAAACTAATTGTGAGTGCAAATTAATGTTTGAGCTATTTACGAGGTCAGTGAAACTCAAAAATCATCAATTATTGGAGCAAATTGATGCTTTTTTAACTTATATGTGTGTGTGTGTACAAATTTGTTTTCAGTTAACTTAACTGATCATGATTTTCCAAAGTAAACCAAAAATCGACTCTGTTCGATTTCGGTCAGTTCGGCTCGATTAACCGAATATAGTGCACCCGTAGTGTACATACAATAATTCACTTGTGAAATAGTTACAAGGGGTAATGTGACAGCTTCCAAACGTTCACTACATTTTGTGTTTTTACACAATTTTAAAGTTCACCTTTTTTCGTGTTTTTACATAATCCTAGCTTGCCCAAGTTATGACCTGAACTCATGTCATTAAATTCCATAGTTGAAAATTAAGAATTCATTACAGTTATTGCATAGGCATAAGCTTCATTACAAGATTTTCATGAACTAATACTACCTCCTATTCTTTTTAAATATCATTTTGGCATTATCAACTATTAACAAAATAAATATCGTTTTGGATATTTTGTACATATTATTACCCTCATCTAGCTAATAAATACACTACGTCTTTCCATATTCACTCGTTATTTTTTCTCATGACATCCATCTTTATCCTTATTATTGAGGGTTATTATTGACAAAAATAATATTCTTAATAACTGTGCAACTTCTCAAAACGACACTTATTATGAATAGGAGAGAGAGTATTGATTTAGTTTAACTTATTTACTTAGGATCTTCAGTACCAAACTATGTCAATCCAAACATGAACAAACAATATAGAAAGAAAATGAAGATGTTTGAACAAATAAAATAGAAAGAAAATGAAGATGTTTAGTAACAAGTTCAATAAACTATTCACAGCAAGCACTGCTACAGAAATTCACAGATGTATATATCTCTTATATTTTTTTCGCCTCAGTCGGAAATAACATTTACGGCAACAAATGATCTCTCACCCTTTTCCGATCCTCTTTTAAAGTCATTGAAATAGATCTAACGACTCTTTCTCTTTCTTTCTTTCTTTTTTTTTTTCTTTTCTAATATTTTTTCGGCTTCCACAATCGAGAACATAGCCTGAAAAACAGCATATATAGCAACTTCTAGCCGCTCGTCTTCACAAATTTTCCACTACACGTGCGCATCTTCAAGAATCAATGGTTTGAAAAACAAACAAACCATCTAAGCCGAGGATGGTGAGGCCCTTTGGGACCGGATTTTACGCGAGTCGTTCGCCTGCGAAGCCAAGTACTCGAGTGCAGTCGCCACATCACTTATGGTGGGACGTGCAATCGCTAGTTCTTGAAGGCACATTGAGGTTATCACGACCGCATGTTGAAGGCTCTTGACCGGGAATTTCCCTTTGAGCAATGGGTCCACCATCTTGACAAAGTTCCTCCGATCCTTGAGAAACGGCCGAGACTGCGCGCAAATCGCGTTTAGAAACATTAATTGCACAAAAAAATAAATTATTAAAGTTAGCTATATAATAGACATATTTCCCAAGTTGTGATGCGCAAAACGCGATTATCAAGAGAAATAATCTTGAACTTTATCTTTCGGAATTATCGAAACGTATACTTATTTAGGATGTGTTAGTAAGTATATAAGTTAGCTTATAACTTATTTGATTAGCTTATAAGGTACCTGTATTCCAATAAACTCGGTTTGGTAAGATGAGCTCTTTTAAAAAGCTCGAGTTTATCTCATAAGATTCCTTGGGTAGCTTTTCTAATAAGCTCATCTAAATTTTTAGTTCAAATAGCTTATCAGTTAATTTTACCAAACATTTTCATCATATAAGCTAATTTTTCAGCCAAAAGTCATAAGTTATCAGCTATAAGCTCGAAATTAACTTGAAAGCTATAAGCTAGCTTATCACCTGGGTTTACTAAACATAGCTTTAACAAACGACACACTTACCCACACGACCAGATTCTGCTCGCCGGGCTTTTTACTAAAGTCCATGGCCTTGCGGCCCGTGATGAGCTCCAACAAGACAACTCCAAAACTATAGATGTCCGACTTTAAAGTCAGCTTGCCACTCATGGCATACTCGGGCGCGCAATACCCGTAAGTCCCCATAACCCGAGTCGAAACATGGGTTTTGTCTCCAACGGGCCCGAGCTTGGCCAGCCCGAAATCCGAAAGCTTCACATTGTACTCATTGTCCAGCAATATGTTTGACGACTTTAGGTCACGGTATATTACAGGAGGGTTGGCTTTACAATGCAAGTACTCAAGCCCGCGGGCCGCACCCACCGCAATTTTCAGCCTCGTGCTCCAACTCAACGGCCTTTGATCGGGCTCTAAATCTAAAATAAACAGTTAATCGATAAACAAAAATGAGAAATTTTATCAAAACAGGATTTTTCATCATAATACATATGTATATAGTTTACCAAACAAGTGATTCTCGAGGCTGCCCATAGGCATGAACTCGTAAACGAGCAGCCTCTGATCGCCATCCGTGCAATAACCTATCAAGTTGACAAGGTTCGGGTGGTGAAGCAGGCTCAGCATGAGAACCTCAACTATAAATTCTTGATTCCCCTGAAGCCCGTCGAGATTGAGCTGCTTAACGGCCACAATCTGATCATCATCCCGAAAGCTAGCCAGTTAGTTAAAATGAGCCAAACGAGCCGAATTCTTTACATCTTTCGGTTAATCTTTATAAATGACTTGACACAAAAAAAAAAAAGAACTGACCGTTCCGGATTCTAGACGGCCCTTGTAGACACTCCCGAAACCACCCTCACCGATTAAATTCATTTCTCGAAAATTCCTTGTGGCCTGAGCGAGTTCCTTTAGCGTGAAGCTGCGGGCCACGTCGACTTTCTGTGGATTGCTTTCCTTGCCTTTGCCTCTCATGGAATCAACCCTTCTCGAAATATCTTGAAAAATTCTCGGAGAATAAGAAAAAAAAAGAAAACGCGCGAATAATAACGTAAAAGCGAACAAAGAAAGGTACCACAAACTATATATGATAAAAGATTCAAAATTTTGTTATGCTAATCTTGTCGACTAACCATTTTCGACAAGGCTCGCCTTTCCCTTCGCACCAACTGCACACGCCAGGATCGAATGAGCATTACATATACGAATCGAATTCAAAATGAAGTGAATTGGAAACATAATGAGAAAAAGAGGAAACCTGAAGATGCAAGGGATTTTGGGGTCATATCCTCATCATATTCAATAAGGGCCTTTTGCTTAGGGCTCAAGCAAGAAAAGCAACTCATCTTTTGTTTGTCAAATCTTTCCTCTTTTTTTTTCTTTTTTTTTTTT